TTTTGTTTTGAACCATAATGTCTACCCCTTCTCAGCTATAAAAACAAAACGAAACAAACTTCTATTTGTTTTCTGGGCGGAAATTTAATAGCCAGGAGGAACTGAAGAAGAAACAGGCACTTAAGCAAGGGGAGGCACATTAGTGTTGCAGACGTCGAAGGAAAGAAGTAAACCATTCCCTTTCCTTTCATGTATAAAGAACTTTATTTTTAAGTATATTAGATCAGATACTCTAAAATCATGTTTTTAATCCATCACGCAATTATTATAAAAGGGAGGAAAATAAATTGATAACAGATGTATGGGTGTACACTGTGTGTGATTGAGGGAGATGAGGCATGACAGTAATTTATTTCTAACTTTTCAAAAAACACCAGTCTTGGGAGCTTATTTGGTGAATGCTAGACTCTCAGCAAATATTTCTCTGAATCATAAAGACATTTGCTACCCACAAAAGCTATTTTTTTTTCAGCAAACCTGATGTTATTGGAAGGATGTTTTAGAATACCCATCCTTTTATGAAACATGCTCTTGGAGGCAGAAACAATAATGTCGTGATGCAAAATAAAATGTTTTGCTTTGACTTTTCCTTGAAGCATATCACTGGAAAAACTTTTTGAAGCTGCATGTTTGTTGGGCCTTGAAGACTGTCTTCAGCTGTCAAGAGAGCTCTTCAAAAACTGGACAAACCATCCAGAGAATGAGTAAGAGTAATATTGTAATTGCCCTTGTTTTGGTCCTGTTTCAACACCAACAATTTCTCTACCTTTTGATGCTCTCTTTCTGGGAGTGATTGTTTCCTTTTCACTTCGTTAATCTCTCTCTTGTACTATTTTTTCAAGTATCCTTCTTTTTAAAAAAACAAAAAAAACCCCAGTCATTTAATGTAGGTCTATGCATAACAATAGATTAGAATTTTCTTAAAAAATTTTAAATATCTTTTTTTGATGTATGTACATGATGTATGTTGCCAGATACTAACTTTTGGAAAAAGATAAGAGAATTTCCAAGAAAGCAATTTTCTTATACACAAATAAGGCATATGCTGTACACACTCACATTCTATTAGACTAGAATTTATACAGTGATTGTCACCTAGCACCTGTCATTGCCAGTGCATTTCCTATAAGCACTTGTGCTTATTTTGTGTATTAGTTAGGTTGTCCTTTATATATATACATCAGAGCATCTCTTTCTCTTTCAGTTTGCAATCNCTTTCATGCTACAATGGCATAGTTGACTCTTTTAGGGAGAGCACAACTCACAGTGGCCCATGCAGGGATTGAACCGGCAACCTTGGTGTTATGAGCTCCACACTCTAACCAACTGAGCTAACCAGTCACCCCCCACTGGATTCTTTTGAATTTATTTTGTTTTGAACCATAATGTCTACCCCTTCTCAGCTATAAAAACAAAACGAAACAAACTTCTATTCGTTTTCTGGGTGGAAATTTAATAGCCAGGAGGAACTGAAGAAGAAACAGGCACTTAAGCAAGGGGAGGCACATTAGTGTTGCAGACGTCGAAGGAAAGAAGTAAACCATTCCCTTTCCTTTCATGTATAAAGAACTTTATTTTTAAGTATATTAGATCAGATACTCTAAAGTCATGTTTTTAATCCATCACGCAATTATTATAAAAGGGAGGAAAATAAATTGATAACAGATGTATGGGTGTTGTGATTGAGGGAGATGAGGCATGGCAGTAATTTATTTCTAACTTTTCAAAAAACACCAGTCTTGGGAGCTTATTGGTGAATGATAGACTCTCAGCAAATATTTCTCTGAATTATAAAGACATTTGCTACCCACAAAAGCTATTTTTTTTTTTTTAGCAAACCTGATGTTATTGGAAGGATGTTTTAGAATACCCATTCTTTTATGAAACATACTCTTGGAGGCAGAAACAATAATGTCGTGATGCAAAATAAAATGTTTTGCTTTGACTTTTCCTTGAAGCATATCACTGGAAAAACTTTTTGAAGCTGCATGTTTATTGGGCCTTGAAGACTGTCTTCAGCTGTCAAGAGAGCTCTTCAAAAACTGGACAAACCATCCGGAGAATGAGTAAGAGTAATATTGTAATTGCTCTTGTTTTGGTCCTGTTTCAATACCAACAATTTCTCTACCTTTTGATGCTCTCTTTCTGGGAGTGATTGTTTCCTTTTCGCTTGGTTAATCTCTCTCTTGTACTATTTTTTCAAGTATCCTTCTTTTTAAAAAAACAAAAAAACCCCAGTCATTTAATGTAGGTCTATGCATAACAATAGATTAGAATTTTTTAAAAAAATTTAAAATATCTTTTTTTGATGTATGTACATTGTTGCCAGATACTAACTTTTGGAAAAAGATAAGAGAATTTCCAAGAAAGCAATTTTCTTATACACAAATAAGGCATATGTTGTACACACTCACATTCCATTAGATTAGAATTTATACAGTGATTGTCACCTAGCACCTGTCATTGCCCGTGCATTTCCTATAAGCACTTGTGCTTATTTTGTGTATTAGTTAGGTTGTCCTTTATATATATACATCAGAGCATCTCTTTCTCTTTCAGTTTGCAATCA